AGCATCGGCCCACAGACTGAAGGGTCCCGGGTTCGATTCTGGTCAAAGGCACATACCTGGGTTACAGGCTTGATCCCTGCTCCACTTGGGGTGCATGCAGGAGGCAACAATCGATGTGTCTCTCTCACAGAGATGTTTCACCCTCTGTCTCTCTCCCTTCCACTCTCTCTCTTAAAAAAAAAAAAAAGGGAAAAATGTCCTCAGGTGAGGATGAACAACAACAACGAAAGTAAACGCTTTTTTTTTTTTTGTAAATACATTTCGAAGGGAGGATGTGCATTGTTCTTCAACACATAAGCAGTAACCTATCAGTCTATCTCACTTTAGTAAGAGTTGGCAGAAACATGTGCACCTGCAACGCTATACATACGGAGGGGGCCTGCAGGGTTATCCGCTCGTGGATCCACCTTGAGGAGTCTGGACGCAATAACTGTGAGAGAAGCAGAAACAGTAATTACAAAACTGTTGTGAACATCCGAATCGTACATTCCCTCGTTAAGAACAGTTTTAAAAAATATATCTTTATTGATTTCAAAAATGAAGGGAGAGGGAGAGAGACAGAAACATCAATGATGAAAGAGGATCATAGATCGGCTGCCTCCTGCATGCCCCACAGTGGGGATCGAGTCTGCAACCCGGGCATGTGCCCTGATCGGGAATCGAACTGTGACCTCCTGGTTCATAGGTCGATGCCTCAACCTATCACTGTGCAACACTGTCTGGACTTACAGGCTTGTTGAGTTAGCTATTTAGATCACGTTGTATAAGATCCTTAGGAATATAGATCATTTATCTCAAACTACCCGCCCACTGCCTTCCCCCCCAAATCTCTGCTCCCGGAACTCACTGATGTTTTCTTCTTCACGATGGCTGGTTTCCTACAGCTGGAGTAGTAGTTGAGGGTGGCATACTCCATCAGAGCAGCGAAGACGAACAAGAAGCACACGGTCACGAAGAGGTCCATGGCGGTCACGTAGGACACGCGGGGCAGCGAGTTCCTGGCGATGGTGCTGAGCGTGGTCATGGTCAGCACCGTGGTGATGCCTGCATGGGGACAGGCATGGGTAAGAGGAGCCACGCTGGCATCCCTCCACCCCAACACCGTGTTTCATTTTTACTTGATTATTATTTTGTAAAATATTTGTATTGATTTCAGAGAGGAAGAGAGAGGGAGAGAGAGAGAGAAACATCCATGATGAGAGAGAATCATGAATCGGCTGCCTGCTGCACGCCCCACACCGGGGATGGAGCCCGCAACCCGGGCATGTGCCCCGACCGAGAATCGAACGAACCATGACCTCCTGGTTCATAGGTCAACGCTCAACCCCTGGGCCACGCCAGCCGGGCCGTTGTGAGCTCTTTAAGGGCAAAGCCATACCTTGCTCATCTCTGCTGGCTCCTCTGGCATTTAGACACATGCTGTGCATAGAATGCAACTCATTTACAGATGGATGTGTTCATTAATAATACTGAGTGTTGGCCTGACCTGGGCTATTTCATGCACATGGGTCCACATTAATGATTTTTTTGACTTCCTAACCCCACCGTCACTGAAGGGACCCACGTGGAATTCTCCTGTCAGAAAGAATCATCTCCCTTGGCTCCGTTCGAGAACGTAAGCGCAGGTCAAGGAGCCCTCAGATGAGGTCAGTGACGTGAGCTCTCCTTCGCGGAAAGTCTGTTTCTGAATCCTCTGCATTAAATGACGCGACACGGTGGGAGTGTGTGTGTGTGTGTGAGTGTGTGTGTGGTTGTGTGTCTGATGCTCACCTAGTGCTGTTCTCGCTGGTGTGGCGTCTTTCTTGATCCAGAATGACACCCAGGACAGGACCACCGTCAGGATGCAGGGGATGTACGTCTGAATGGTGAAGTACCCCATCCGCCGGCTCAGCTCGAAGTAGATGGTCATGATGACGTAGTCCCCTGCAACAGACACGGTTCCCTGGTCAGGCCGCTTCCTCAGGTTCGGAAACAAAACGTTTAAAGCAGAGACCACCCGGAAGGCTCCATTCTCGCGCGCAACGATGGACGCCTTCCCGTGCCCCGCCTTTTTGTTGTTTCTTCTCCTTCAGGACGCCGCGGCCCGTGGCAGCCATACTCAGGGTGGTTGACAGAAACTTCAATCTCGAGATCACTTCCCAAAAGCCATTTCAAATTGTAATAAGCAAATTAGCATTCCGGCACAAAGGAATCGGCATGATTAAACCCAAGCAATCAGAGAACACAAATATTTTCCTAAGTCAGTGGAATGCCAGGGGACATCGGTTCCCGGGGGAAATGTGACTGAATGATGGGTGATATTAAAAGCCTATTAATTTTTACATAAAATTTCAATAAAGAACAAAGCGGAAAAACAAACAGTAGACAGAAACACAAAAGAGAATAAATCACCCCGGCAGGAATACACACAGCCCCCAAGGAATATCCAAAAGAGCCGAATAACATATTGCCGGCTCCTGAGCCGAGTAAGATAAACGGAGGGACCATGCCCCGCGCCCGCGAGGCGCCGTTCTTCTCCGCAAATTCGGCAAAGCCAGCTCTTTCCCGACCCCAGGAGAACAGGCTCAGCGGCCCCCTCCCCTGACGCCGAGGTCTGCCCAATGACGGCGCCCCCTGTGGGGATGAGAGTGAGAGGGGCTGCCGGCCACGTCCCAGGACCTGACCC